CTCTCTTCTGATTCTTCAAGCCTTCTGGTTAAACTCTCTGCTGTGTTTTTTATTTCACTGAATGAATTCTTCAGTTCGGCAAGTTCTGCTACTTTTTTTTTCAGGGCATTGATTTCCTTGTATATTTCCTCTTTCAGGTCCTGTATACTTTTCGTCATTTCATCATGATGTCTAGCTGAGTTTTCTTGTATCTCATTCAGTTTCCTTAGAATTATCACTTGAAATTCCTTGTCAGTCATTTCAAAGGCTTCTTGTTGTATAGGATCTAGAGCTTGAGAGTTATTATCCTTTGGTGGTGTACTTTCTTGAGTTTTTGTATTTCTGGTTTCTTTTCTTTGATGTTTATTCATTGTGGCAGGGGGTTTCACAGTCCACAGGTTTGACACTATTGACTGACTAAGATGTTGCTGTGGTTGCCAATTTGGTATGGCTACCTCGGTGACTGCTCAGTTGGCCACTAGTGCCTTGTGTGTGTGGTTGCCTTGGGTCTTGGGCCTCTCCGGGGAGCCACCTCTCTGGTCAGCTTGGACTCTGCTGGGCTGCTGGATCACGGGGCCGTACCATGGGGTGTGTGGTCTCTGCTGAGCTTCCACCTCCCGTGCTGGACTTTTCCCTGTTCCATGTGCTCTGGCCTTGGCTGCTGGGATGTGCTGAGGCACCCCAGAGTGTGTGGTCTCTGCCGAGCTTCCCCTTCCCCTGCAGGATGTCTCCCTGCTCTGTGCATGCTAGGCTGGGCTTGGGATGGAGCTGGGTGGCAGAGGTGAAGCCTACCTGCTGCTGGATCGCGTGGCGGCAGCCCCCCCACAGTGTGTGTGGACTCTATGGAGCTTCTATCTCCCTTGCTGGACGTCTCTGTGCTCCGTACGCATTGGACCGGGCTGATGGATAGCGCGGCAGCATTGTGGTCTCCGTGGAATTCCCACCTCCCAGTTTCTGAGGCTGGGGAGTCCAAAGTCCATCTGGTGGTGGCAACAGTGACCCAGGGGTCTCACATTGCAAGTTGGTGGAAGCAGAGAGAGAGCACAGAGAGCTCAATTCTTGATTTCTTATAAATTAAAATCTTTTTCAGCACTACTCCTACCTAGTCATTATTATTCCTTATCCTTAAGTTTAACTGTCCAGTATAAATTGAAACTTCTATAGCTTCTTTTTTTCTTACTGGCCTATCAATAGTTTTGAAGGCTGGGAAGTCCAAAGTCCAGGGAACACATCTGGTAAGGGTCTTCTTTGGTGGCAAGCAGGAGTTCATGTGGCAGTCCAATATTCAGCAGGCAGATTTCCATGTGCACTTCAGGAGCCCAAATTTTGTCAAAGCCCAAGGGTTCAGAGTCTTCACTGATATCAGGCACGTTGGCTTTGGTCTATGACAACAGCAGCATTCAAAATGCTCTGGGAAGATAAGGGGTGGTAATGACTAGGAATGAACACAGGGAATCTTATTGAATGCTGGAAATGTTCTTTATCTTGATCTGGATGTATTCCTGGCTCCAGAAAGAGGCCCAGATCCATGCCGCATCTCGCAAACTCTTAGGTGCCACAATTCAAAAGTCCCAAAATATTTCCTAATATACCTTTTGATTTCTTCTTTGACTCATTGGTTGTTCAAGAGTGTATTGTTTAATTTCCACATTTGTGTGAAAATACCAGTTTTCCTCTGCCATTAATTTATTGTTTAGTTCCATTGATATTGGGTATGATTTCAATCTTCTTGAATTTGTTAAAATTTGTTTTCTGACCTAATATGTGATCTATCTTGGAGAATGTTCTGTGTGCACTTGAGAAGAATACGTATTCTGCTGCTGTTGGATGGAAAGTTCTATAGTGATGTTTAAGTTCTCTGTTTCCTTGTTCATCTTCCTTCTGATGTTCTATCCATTATTGAAAGTGGGTATTGAAATCCCTTACTATTTTTGTGCTGCTGTCTAATTCTCTCTTCAGTTCTGTCAATGTTTTCCTTATATATTTGGGTGCTCTGATGTTGGGTGCATATATATTTATAACTGTTATATATTCCTGGGGAACTGACACTTTTAATCATTCTATCATGTCCTTCCTTGTCTCTTTTCATAGTTTTTACTTAAAGTCTATTCTGTCTGATATAAGTATGGCCATCCTTGATCTCTTTTGGAAATCATTTTCATGGAAAATCTTTTTCTATTTTTTCACTTTTGGCCTATGTGTATCCTAAAATCTAAAGTGAGTCTCTTGCAGATAGAATATAGTTTGATCTTGTTTTTTTTATCCATTCAGCTACTGAGTGAGAGGCCTCAAGTTGTGCACTATCTCCTAATTGCACTGAGGAATGCCAGCTGCGGCAAGATACCCTGCACTCGTTTTTGTTCTCGGTGGCTATCAGGCATCCAAACTATGCTGGTTCCATCAGCACTCCATGTGAGGCAAGATAGAAACCAGTCTCTCAGGCAGCCCTCTAAAATGTTGGAATATTGGATGCATGCTCCACCCTTCTCTTGCTCCCCTACAGGAGAAGTTGTAGGCCAGGACATTCTCTCTTGGAACCTAGCTGTACTGGCTTGGAGAAGGGGCCGATGCAGATAAAGTGAAATTGCTCCTTATCCTTTTCAACATGGCTGTTCTTACTTTATGTTTATCTAAGGTACTGCAACTTCTTAACTGAATTCTGGAATTCTCATAAAGGTATTTTGGTTCATACAGGGTTGTTAATCAGTGTTTCTGTAGGGGCACAAGAGCTGGGATTCCCACTTCTGCCATTCTATGGACGTCATGACTCACATAGGCTTTGAATGCATCATGCCTCCCCACTGTCTGGCAAATTAGGCTTTGGTCTACATTCCCATCTCACATAATGGCTGTAACCTAACTTTCCAGGATTATTTTCTGTCTACAGGCATCTTCTGCTCCAGCCATATATCTTCTACTGGCTTAATACTGTTCTATTACTCTGCTCCTGTGATTCCTTCCCTATATTCCAAATGTCCTCTACTGGAAATTCTGCTCTCTTTCACCATACATGTCACCTTGCATGTCAGACCCTAAAAGAAGCCTTCTCAATTTGCCTCAACTAGAATAACCTCTCTATCCAGAGAAATACCATAATGCTTTTGTTGAACCATTCATATCTCATTCAGCCTTATTATAATTATTTAAGCACCTGTTTTATGAAATTATAAGCACCCTGAGAGCAAGATTACTTATGTGATACTAAACAATAGTCAGCCAAATCCCTTTACTTCCATGTAGTGGGTATTCATTTAAATCATTGAATTGAACTGACAAGAGCACAAACAGGCTGTCCTGTACCTGATACTCCAGGGTGGCCTCCCACTCTAACCCCTCCACTAGCCTATATTCCAGCTCCAGCTGGAAGGTTCAATAAAAAGTAAACACTTAGCCTTGAACACTATTCAATACCAGGTTTTGGACATCTTTCAGAGTATCATTATAAAACAACATCCTATGAAACCTGTAATAAGAAGTCAATGATACCTTGCCTTCAGGATCCACCAGGAGAAGATGTTTTGCCTGGCCTCCCTGTAGTCCACTTAATACATATTGGCCAGGGGATGTTGCACTCTCTCGAACCAAAAAGTCCCCGTCCTTTACCAAGAGGCTCTCTGCTGCCTTCCTGCTCAGCTTGCCATGGTAGCATTCTTCATTCCACAGCTGCTGCTTAATGTGTGGCAAAGAATGTGAGCTGGCAGGCTGGGCTGTGGCACCCGGCTGTACAGTTTCTGGTGCCTCTGAAGTCAGAACACAAAGAGAAACATCACCAAGTTACCTCCTCGTCCATCCATTCATCCATTCACTCGGCAAATATAACTTGAGGTCCTACTGTGTTCCAGGCACTGTTCAAATAACACTGTTGCTGGAACAAATCAGGGTTTTGTTTTCAGAACTCCCAACAAGCTCTAATTTAATGGTAGATCTAAACATTGCCTTTGGCTTCTGTTACCAAGAAAGGCTTGCCCAGGTGCAGGAGTTTTCTTCTCAGACAAGAAGTGGAACCAGTCCATAAGAACTGCTTTTAAAACTGCAGAGAGAGGCTCTTTATGTCCCAGGGGCTGCATGTTAAAGAGAAAGAGGCTTATTCTGTACCTGGTTAAAAATAACTTCTATAGCCATTTCCAAACTCTTTGAAAATAGCTATGGTAACTTTGGGCTATCCCTGCTTCTTAGTAGTTAGCTTTAAAAAAAAAAAAAAAAAAAAAGATGACCAGTAAGGGGATCTTAACCCTTAGCTTGGTGTTGTCAGCACTATGCTCAGCCAGTGAGCGAACCGGCTATCCCTATATAGGATCCGAACCCGTGGCCTTGGTGTTATCAGCACCGCACTCTCCCGAGTGAGCCACGAGCCGGCCCTAGCTTGTTTCTTTTTTTTTTCTTAACCAAATTACTAATTGATGTGATTCTAGACATTCTTCTGACCAAAAACTTCAAAGCTTTACTAAACCTCATAGCATTCCTATTAAATGACCATACTGTTGTTTGTGTCATTCACCTGCCTGGACAAAACAGAGTTAATGAGGTAAAAGAAGGCAAAACTTCAGGGAGGCATTGCCTGAGACAGCTCCCCAAGGCTCTGCAGAATAAATATTGCCAGAGATAAGAGCACTGGGGATGAAAGATACATCCAGTTAGCACTTAATAGTACTACTGATAATCATCATGATAATAATTATTGTGTAGTTCCCATTTATTGAGTATAACAGGCACTGCTAAAGGCTTTACATACATTATGTAGTTTAACTCTCAAAATTAGACAGGCAAGGAAATGGATCTTTAGAATGGTTAAGTGACTTACCCGAAGTCACATTAATAATATGTTGTGTATTTGAGGTTTGAAACAAGGTCTACCTGATTCCAAAGCCTAGGTTCTTAATCACCAAATTCTAAGTCCCTTGCATTGTAGTGAAAATGTTTCATTTTTCAAAACTGGTCTAGCCACTCTGCTTCTGTAGTACCTACAAAGGTCCCTAGCAGATAGCAAGGCTATCAGGATGATATACAGTATCTTCAGAAGTAATAACATAAAATTCTTATGTCTGAATCCAGGCAAAATTTCATGTTTAATATGGTAAATTTACCAAGAAAATAACCACAGAAACCAGACTTCATCTTTTTAAATGCAAAGGATCTTTTGCATAGAAACCAGCCTTCCTCTTGATTCATGCAAAGGAATGTTTGCATGTCCTTATATAAAGTCTCACAAATGAAAAATTCTCTTGACTCTGATTTTTACAAGTGTACTTCAAAAAGTTTAAGGAAAAATAAAATTAAGAGATAATACAAATCTTTCCATGAACTTTTTAAAGTACCCTTGTATGACTTATACATGACTATCCCATCATGTCATTGGTATAGGAAACCTGTGCCTTGCAGACATAATCCATGCCTCCCCTTAATATCTTATAGTATTGTTCCTACTTAAGAACTTCTTTCTGCATAACACAGTTATGATGGAACATTCACAAATACATCTTTTAAAAAATATCTTTGGTATCAATCTAATTGCTGGAAATGTTCTCTTCTACAAACAATCAAGTCTTTCTATTTTTGCCAGAAAAAGCCTGATGAAATGTGTCCAGATTTTATGAATAATACTTGAAGTTGGCCTTAGTGCTGGCTGCTTTCAGGCACAATGGAGAACTTCTAATGAGTAGTTGTGTGTGAGTTTGTGTGTGTGAGAAAGTATTTGTGTGAGTGCGGGGAGGAAGCATGCCGGGGGGGGGGGGGGTGCATGCATCTTAGTGCATGATGGCTTTTGGTTTATTCCGAGATTATGGTAAATAGCTTTTGGACAAGGATAAAACAAAAGAAAAACAGACATTATATCATCTTGAAAAGAGGCAACAGATCATGAGCCAGCTAGAGGATATGGACAGTGTTTTCCTAACACAGTTTCCCAAATTAGCACAAAGATCAGATACACTCTGCTAGAAGATTTCGATCATCCAAACATTTGCTGAAAATCCAATTCTGATAAAAGCAGAATATGTGACAGATTTTAAAATTTTTTTTAATTTTAAAAGTTACACATGCTGATTTCTTTAAATCTGAAAAACAGAAAAAATACAAAGAGAATTAGTCACCTATGGTCCCATCACTAAATACAGCCATTTTTAACACTGTACATTTTCCATTACCTTGTTCCTTTTCCTATGTAAAATTGTCTTTGAGAATAATAATCACAATCTAAACATAGTTATTTATATATAATTTCTATACAACATTTAATAAATTGTGGACTTGATGTAATTATCTTATATTTTCTCAGAAGTAGTAGTGAAGATTAAGAAAGCAACAAGGAAGACCACTCTAGATTTCAGACGAAAAAAAAAAGAAGTGATAGGAATCACGGAAGAAAGTAATCATGTCATCTTGAAGTTCCTTTTAGCAACTAAAGACATACTGTTCACAATCAGAACTTCAGGAAAGCACAGGTTGGAATGAATAGCCATACCTATATATATCTGACAGGCAAAACCTGTGAAAGGAGGAATATAGCTTAAGGAAGAGAAAAAATCTAACATGCAAAATCTGGATTAAACAATTGTAAGTAATCCCAATGAGAAAGATGAGACATTTAAAGAAACCACTGTGAGCTGTAAAGTGGCACACTGATGAATTCAATTTTTTAAAAGCATGTGTAAAAGTATTTTTTTATAGTATTGGCTATTACATTAGCAAATGACGGGAAAATTGAGATGTCCATATATAAGGGACTGGTTACATAAATTATAATGCATTTATACAACAGAATACTATAGAGAAATTAAAAATAGTGGTGACAGTCAGCTCTGAGGCCCATGGATATGTATAATAAAAATAAAAAATAAATAATGTAAATCACATGCTAATATAGACAAATCTCCAAAATAGAAAAGCGAAATAAGCAAATATAGAAGGAGGTTATCATAACTTTTATTTATTTTTTAAAAGAGATAAGAAGATAGATAAGTAGATACATACATAACTATGTATTTACATTCTGTAAGTAATCATAAGAAACTTAATATCTAGGGAGCTGGATACAGTATTAGGTCATGGGAAGGGACTTTTAATCTTTTCATTTTATACCATTCTTTATTATTTTAATTTCTTCTGCGAACATCTGTATTACTTTTTAATTTTTTAAAAAAAGTCTATAGAATAAAATGTATACAAAAGTCAGGCTAGCCAAATAGCTAAGGACACAATCAGAAGGATATAAACTTGTGAGAAGAGTATTAGGGTTGGGGATAATCTTCAGTTTTCTAAAGCCTACCCTGTTCTTGCCACAACATGTAATAATGACTCCACCTCCTATGTGGGAGAACTGTCAGTACAGTCAATTCTCATTACTTTCAGTAGTTGTGCTTTATAAAGTTTCCAAGAACACCGAATTAGTGAAAACAATAATTGTTCCTAGAGGAAATACAGAGTTGGGTTCCTACAAGCCTCAGGTTACAACATTTTCATCAATCAACACATAACCTTGTTTCATGTGGGCTTCTGTTTAAACACCTTGTTTAGTATATACTGTTGATTCATTAACACTGAATTCACAGCCAACAACATTGTAACTCACGCCCAATGTTTTTTAAATACACATATTTTCTCCATAAGGCACAATGCAGCCTTCTTATATTTAGAAACACTAGATAGCACTTCAGTGCTATGCTTGGGGGATGTTTTAAACAGTAAAATCACCAACAAGTAGTATAAAAATGTGGAAAATGTGGCACTAAATAGACCACAAAAGAAATCTTTACAGTGTGGCAGCTGAAACAAGAATATAGAGTGTTGCCTTATTTGTCCTGAGCTGGGAATGTGTGCATTGGGTGACTCCAATTTTTTGTTGCTGTGCACATATCTGCAAATGACCACAAAAGCACCATCAGTATTGATTTTGGAGTTACAACTAAATTTTAGTGAGTAAGCTAATTCTCAAATATGGAGTCTGCAAATAATGAGAATTGACTATATACTGTTTATTAGTATGGATTATTGGATTATGAAAAATCATAAAATAGGAATTTATTTGCATTATTGGGAGGAAAAATATGTTCACCTCCATAAAGTGTCTGAAAATTTCGTAGAAAAAGATGTTAACATAAAATGTTAAACATAAGTGAGAGGTTAAGATAATACCCAGAGAAAAATTATTTGTAGTATAATGGAAGAATTACATGTCTATGAAGACATATTACAAAGGCATAGCAATTAGTATATAGTAACTAATATACTGATTCAAAACAGGCAAGTGGAAAAAGTATAACAGAAAAAGTGTAATGAAGAGACCAGAAACAGATTCACATATAAAAGAGGAGCCTTGCTTAATTGACAACAGTATTAGGTAAAAGAGGAGATTATTTAACCAACACTGTTAGGAAAATTGACTCATGAATAAAGTTAGACCTCCTACCTCATATAAAATGTAAATGTCAAATGAAATAAATATTTTATTATGGAAATAAAACTATAAAGCTGAAAGAAGAAAATGTAGAAGAAGCTGGATAAAAAAGTAAACATTTAATCCAAGGACAGTATAAAGAAGACATAATAAAAATAAAAATGGAAGTCAATGAAATAGAAAATAAAAAACAATACAGAATATTAAACCAAAACCTGGGTACTTTGTAAAAATCAAAAAAATTAACAAACCTAAAAGATGAGTACTTAGGGTCGGCCCGTGGCTCACTTGGGAGAGTGTGGAGCTGATAACACCAAGGCCACAGGTTCGGATCCCATATAGGGATGGCCAGTTAGCTCATTTGGGAGAGCGTGGTGCTGACAACACCATGTCAAGGGTTAAGATCCCCTTACCAATCATCTTAAAAAAAAAAAGTAATCAAGTAAAAAGGAGACAATTACCAATAACAGGAAAGAAGGAAGGGTTATCACTACAGATCCTTCAGGCAATAAAAGAACAATGAATTAGTCCATTTTCTTTTGCTGATAACATAATACCTGAAACTGAGTAACTTATAAAGAAACAAAATTTATCTCATAGTTTTGGAGGCTAGAAAGTCCAAGGTAGGGGGCACATATGGTGAGGGCCGCCTTCTTTTTCTAATTTTTTTTTTTTTTTTTTGGATGCTGTACAGTATAGGGATCCGAACCCTCGTCCTTGGCATTACAACACTGTACTCTAACCAACTGAGCTAACCAGCCAGCCCCTGAGGACCTTCTTCTTGATGGGGACTCTATAGAATCCCGTGGGAATGCAGGGGTACATATGATGAGAACTGAGATACAGTGCATCTTAACTTGCTCAGTTGCTCTCCTTATAAAGCCCCCCATCTACTCCTTAAAAACACATTAAGCCATTAAGCCATTAATCTGTGAATGAATTAATCTATTCATTAGGGCATAGTCTTCACTATCCAATCATCTCTTAAAGGCCCCACCTTTCAAATACATTATTGGAGATTAAGGTCCAACATGAGCTTTGGAGGGGACAAACATTCAAACCATAGCAGACAATAAATAAATATATATATATACATTATATATATATAAAAGGAAAACCTCACGTGGAACTGACTCTAAGCAAATAAACTTGAATCCTACTGAGTTTCTGAGGAATTACATCGCCAAAAAAATTACAATCCCTTCTTGTCTATGGCTTTTGACCCCTGAAGAAAACTCCAACCTCTTGTGCCCACACCAACAGGAAACAGGCTATAAAAGTGGTGAAGCCCCCCCAAAAGGCACATTCTCCAACATCTACTTTAAGTACGTATATGGAGGATAACGGCAGGCACAATCCAGAGGGCACAGTTCAGGCCCACAGATGACAATGGACACCAAAAGTTCTCCCCTAAAGCTGAACCAGAGTCCAAGCGAATCACCCTCTCCCACTTCTAGCTCAGGGAGTCTTCATAATTCCTGCCTGGCAGGATTTGGTAATTGCTATGGACCAGTGAGTGCTGCCCCATGCTGGTACATTCTTCTCTTTTTATGAATATAAGTTTCTATTGCAGTTATCTTATTCCTATTCCACCATTCATTTTGGATGCAGGGGGGACAGACAACTTGACAGATAATAAGGATCCCCATCCAATCTTGGAAGCTGTAATTGTATGGGGTATTTGCAATGTCCTCCTCAGAGAGAGGGTCTATATGTTCTATGTGAAAAAAAGAGCTCACGGATATTCAAGTGGCAGAAAGGTGTACTGTAGCAGAGATAGTTAATTATCTATCAATATCTATCCTCCCTTTCAGTACATTATAGAACTCCTAAGTTTTAGCTGGGCACCCAGCTAGAGTAACTTTTCTAGCCCCCGTTGAAGTTAGGGATGTCCACATGTCTAAGCTCTGCTGATGGCAGGTGAGAAGAAATGATGTCTGCCACTTCCGGGTCATACCCTTTAAAGGAGTGTGTATGCCACTCCTTGGCTTTCTCTCTTCCTACTGGCTAAAAACAGGTGTGAGGGTGAGAGCCCAAGCAGCCACTCTGAACCAGAGATGGAAGCCAGATGTTGAGAATGGCAAAGCTGCCCTACTAGTTCTGTGCTGCCAATCTTTGAGCTATAAGGGAAAAGAAACTTCTGTCCTTTTTATACTACAGTGTTTTGGGGGGTTTCTTTGTGGCAGCTAAGACTGAAACTAATAATACACCTATACAAAAATCAGATAGTACCAAAACTAAGGATTTCCTTCTGCCATGTTCAATAAGAAAAAAGATTGTGTCAACTTTACTCTTATTGGCAGTGTGACAGGATGAACTTAGGAGCCCTGAGGGCATGCTTGAGAGATATGTATTAGGTTCATAACTCTGGATTTGTTTTTGATTGGTTTGTTTCAATTATACTGAACTGATCAATAAGATTTTGTCTGCATAAGGGGGGCTGAGTATGCTTAAGAGGCTAAAGAGGATTTTTGAGGGAGGAAAGAAGGAAACAGGAGGAACCATTGGGGGGAAGATGAAAGGGGGATTTAAAACTTTATAGGAAAGTATGCATAAAGTTACCCTACTCCATTTCTTTATTAAAACTTCTTAAGTTTTAAGAAGTTGGATTTAATTTTTTGGAGGGAGCCATGGCAGGCTAAAATTAACCTTTAAGGTGCAGCAAGAAGCCCAGGAGGGCTACGGTATGTTAAATCCAAAAGGGAAATAAAGAGTGAGAGTGTTACAGAAGCCTAAATTATTAAACATGCTGCCACCAAAGCAGGGAGACGGAGAAAGGGTGAGAAAAGAAAGCTGAATTCGGGCCGGCCCAGTGGTGCACTGCTACCGTGCGCCGCTTGGGAGTGCGGCGGCGCTCCCGCCGAGGGTTCGGATCCCACATACAGACCGGTTCCCGCTCACTGGCTGAGCGAGGTGCGGGCGCAACACCGAGGGTTGCGATCCCGTTGCCGGTCCCGGTCCGGTATGGGCGCGACACTGAGGGTTGCGATCCATTGCCGGACACGAAAAAAGACAAAAAAAAAAAAAAAGAAAGCTGAATTCAGGGAAAATACATTTTGGCATTATAACTTAGGACAAGATAAGTCTTACTTATTTTCAACTGATGAAAGGAATTTTGTTATGGATTAAGTTTGCATTTTCATATTATTGAATTGTCTATGACAAAGTTTCTTTGCTTGTATTATATTTTTAACATTAAAGACTTGATTATGAAGGAACTAGATTTGTAATCAAAGAATACCCCAGATCACCTAATTGGGACCACCCACTAAATAAATTTTCTAATAATATGTTGTGGAAGTGATCAAGTGTACACTCCTATAATGCTACTTTTAAAACCTAAGGTCCAGAAGCTTTTTTTTCAAAAATCTGTCCCTCTAACAAATACTATTTTATCCACACAGGGTATTTCACATTGAACAGTTGAGTAAGATTCCTGCAGAAATCTGAATTCATTTCATGTCCCATTGTACATTACACAGGTGCTCTCTGTGGTAGACACAGAGATGCACTGCCCAGATCTCACCTCAAGAAAGGACCAATTGTCCCAGGTGTCAGCAGTCAGCCTCCAACTGACCAGCTCTTCAGGGTCTAACTCAGCTGCCCAAGGGCTTGTCCCCCCTGGTGTGGCCCACACCCAGAGACTAAGGCAAGTGGGGCTACAGAGGCCATTATCTGGGCCTAATGTAGAACAGCTCTGACAAACCACACAGGCTCTCTGTGGGGTTGGTGAGGCTTTGTCAGGCCTGCACTGTAGCTCTACCTCCCCCTCTGCCCAATCCTACTTACTCCCCCATGCTTCCTGATATCGATCTCCATAAAGACCCTGCACATCAAGCTCCATCTTAGTGTCTGCTTCCAGAGAACCCAACTTGGTTGGGTTGGGTGCCAAGTTGAAAGACTGCAAAAAGACAGACCACTTGCCACCTGGTGACAGTGAGGACCTTTGTTTCTTAGTATAAGAGAGTTAGGGCAGTCTGGTGAAGCCCAGGCTCAACAAAACCTCCTTTTAAATTTTGTGTTGCCATTGCAGCCACACTAACTGGAAAGTTACCTTTGGCAGTTCTAGAGAAACTTCCTGGCCTAGTGAAAGGACTTTCTCAGTCAATGGTTCTCCATCTTTGGAGCAAACCAAATTTAACACCAAGCCAATCCCTGAAACCCAAAGAGCTTCAATATTTTATGAAAAGCATTTTTTGTTTATTTATTTTTCTGTTGATTGTAGGCTTTTGGCTTGTTTTGCGACACCAAGCCAATCCCTGAACCCCAACGAGCTTCAATATTGTATGAAAAGCATTTTTTGTTTATTTATTTTTCTGTTGATTGTAGGCTTTTGGCTTGTTTTGCTTTTATTTATTTATGTTCCTGTTTATGCATTTACCCTTGGAAGCAATTTGGCAGGAAAATGATGTTTGTCTTATTGTATTTTACCCACAGTATATGGTTGAAGAAAGGAGCTGTCTTATTTCAGTGCTGTATAGATTTATCAAAGGGTTTTAAATAAATAAAATTAAAGCCATCATTAAGCAGAATCAAAATAGTGGTCATTGTTCCTCATGCAAATAAACAAATTCAAAATTGTCTCCTGGTTTTGACAGCCCTTTCTTCGGCAAAAGAATATAGCAGAAACCAAAAGTTGGGAGTAAATTTAAAGTATCTGAAAGGATTGTTTTAAAACAACGTGTTAAAACCTTGAAACCCAAAACATCTCCACAAAGTTCTAATCTATATTAACTATGGTGAGGGATTGAGGTAAAGAAAGAATCCATTTAACTCCCTGAAAATGAAGCCAAGAAAATAGCCTTCTTTAAAATTAGAGACAGTGTAATGAGTTAAATAGCGACCCCCAGAAAAGATATGTTCAAGTTCTAATCCTTGGTACTTATATATGTGACCTAATTTGGCAAAGGAGTCTTTGCAGATGTAATTAAATTAATGATCATCTCATCTCACCCTAAATCCAGTGACTGCTGCCCGATAAGAGAAAGAAGAGGAGGAGTACTAGAGACACAAGGGGAAGGTGATGTGAAGACTGATGTACAGATTGGAGTGATGAGTCTATAAGCCAAGAAACATCAGGAATTGCCAGCAGCTACCACAAGCTAGGAGAGAGGCATGGAATGCATTGTTCTTGAGAGCCTCCAGAAGGAAGCAACCCTACTGACATTTTGAGTTCAGACTTCTGGCCCCTAGAACTGTGAGAAAATGCATTTCTGCTGTTTTAAGACACCCAGCTTGCGATAATTTGTTACAACAGCCCTGGGAAACTAATACAGACAGTGAGTAGCTACTTACTTCCACGGTGCCATGGGCTCACCAGTGGTTGAGCTGAGCACTGATTTCGAGCAGAACCAAGTGTACTTTGAAGAGCCTGTGTATTAATGTAGCAGGGGTCATCGAAGAGATCCAATCGACAAGTGTGCTTCATTAACAAGCTGTCTTGTTGGGACTGCGCCCCTCTCTCATGGGCATTACCTGTAGTGATTAGCAGTGATCAATGCATTACGTTTTTGCTTTGTAAACAGTAAATAAAATCATGTTTGAGTCTAGAATTGATATGAAGCTAAAGGCCACACCCACCCCATACAAGGATTGAATATCAACGTAAAATCAAGATTTTTGAGGGAAAGCCACCCTCTCACTGGTATCCCTTCCTCTCTCTGCCCCACCCCTCAGCTGACCCATTGCTTCCACAGTAGACAGGAGAGAAGCAGGAAGATCCAAAAGAGGAATGGTAAGAGAAGAGGGCCAATTGTCTCAGCGAACAGCATGAACTGGCACCCAACACTGCTCAGAGGGATAGCCCAGCAAGCAGGAAAACACGTGTCATACTGAACTCGAATATCTATTATTTAACTCCTTTTCAAAAAATTCATTAATTAATTTAAAATTCTTCCTGAGAATTAAACTTATTTTAAAATAAATAAATAAATGAATAAAATAAAATTACTGTGAGTAAGAAGTCTGGCTTCTCTCTATTCCCAGAGTTTTCTCTTGCCAAGCTCAGCCTTGCACAGATTGCTGATGTTTAAATCTGTTATTCAATGGAAAGGACTCAACCCTCAGGTAATCTCCTCCTCCTCTCTTAGTCTGTTCTCTCCCCTTCCATTCTAGTACATATATTATGGCCAAAATGATCTTTTTAAAACTGAAAATCTGATCAGTTTTCTCAGAGGGTTAAAAACCCTTGAACTGCTTCACATACTTGTTAACAAGCTGCAGGCTCTGCTGTCTACCTGACTTCCCTTCCACCTCTCTCTTCCACAGTCTCTGCCTGGGGCTGCATTGGCCCTGCAGTCTGATCTCTGCCATAAAGCCCATCTCCTCTGATTGGCCTGCTCTTCCCTCCCCTTCTTCATCACTGTCATCCTTCAGATGTCAGTTTAAACATCTCTTTTTCAGGAGAGCCTTCACTGACTTTCCAGATAAGACTAGGTCTTTCTACTTTCTTAGCAGTTTGTACTTAACCTTCAAAGCCCATATCACAAGGATAATTAATTCTATCATTCAAGTTATTATTTGCTTAATATCTGTGCTGCATCTAGACAGCACGTTCCATAAAAGCAGGGATCCTTTCTGCCTTGTTCACAGCTGCAACTCCTGCACATGCCTGGCACATAATAGGACATCAACAAAGGGTTATTAAATGCATGGATATTAGCATCATATTTCACTACTTTATGGCATGAAGATGGCTCCACCCTAAGAACACCAGGATAGAATGTTTTTGCTTTTCTGTTTAAACAAATACATTTACAGTTTTAGCTGTATGTGCTACAGGATCACCATAAGGCTGCACCTAAACTAGAAACATTCCATTGTTTTGCCATAAAACATTAGAATTTCTATTGCTTCAGTCATTAAACTCTTTCTATGTGACCCAAGAAGGTCCAACCTCATATGGTGAGTAGTGCAATGATTCTTGTAACTCATAAGAGGGAAAGCCTAAGAGTACAACAAGTAGGGGAAGCCCAGTCAGAGGACTAGTCTTACTACCCGTTCCTCCTTTACTCCTTGTCTGTCTGTCGGCTGTTACATGTCATCTTGTCACGTGTCATACTCCATATGTGGGGTATCCTGAGAGTAGTGGGGTTTCTACAGAGGGAGGGGCCGACAGGATGCCTCATTTGTTTGTGTGTTTTGCAACATATGACAGTTTCCATGTGCTTGGTTAAGTGGATTTATGAGTTTTATTATCTAGTTAACTAAACTTACTGTCACAAATGGAAAGTGGTTAAAAGATCACTGCAAAGAAATCAAGTATTGAAGATAATTCTTTCACTCTTAGTACAAGCTCCTCCTTAGCTACATTATGAGCTTATAAACAAGAATAATCTAATCAGATCAGAACTTTGGTCCCCAAAATTTAAAATTATCAAGACTTGAAATGTAGATTTATATCTATTTATCAATAAATGCTCTAAATGAATACTGGGCCTTGAAATATTATCTAATGATAGTGTAGTATTCAGCTGTTGTAATTAGCAAGACCTAAAAAAAGTTTATGTATTATCAATTCTCTAACTTTAAAATTTTCTATATTTGTCTGTTTTATAACACATGTATAATAATATATCAGTATACGTTTATATAACTTATACACAATTGAATAATAATTTATTTAGAAGTGCCTGCTCATAGAAGTTTACTGAAAGTGGAATATGATCAAAAGTAGCTAGGAGGTCTTCTCCTAAGTATATATGGACCTGAGTTCAAATCTCTGTGGTATCTCTTACTATCTGTGTGGTCTGAGGCAAGTTAATTAACCTCTCTAAGACTCAGTTTTCATAAATGTAAAATGGGGATGCCAAGCTTTAAATACAGTTGTGAAGATTCAATGAAATATTGGTGAGACAGTGAGCATAGTGCCTGCCTTATAGTAGGCATTCAATAGATAGTTCTCATCGATACTCAGTTGTTCATTTATGCATTACTACTGGATCTATGTATATAATACTAATTTCTTACTGCAACATCCTCCCCCACCCTTTCTTTGCCTAACTCCTATCTGTCCTTTAAGATTCTGCTCTGAAGCCATCTGCTTCAGGAAGCCTTCTCTTGAGTCCTTCCCTCTTCTAGGTTGGATAAGGTGCCACTCCATAACATACTCATCTGTTTACTTGTCTGTCTTCCCCCTTGAGACTGCAAATTTTTTGAGACCTTGAGGAGAGACTATGACCCATTTATTAGTGTATCTTCTGCATCTTCAGTGCCTGATATGAGGTAGGTGCAAAAGAGAAAACTTTCAGGTGAATGAACAAATGACAGAATATCTATCCAGAATATCTTTCTTAATATAGTGTATCTTCTGCATCTTCAGTGCCTGATATGAGGTAGGTGCAAAAAAGAAAACTTTCAGGTGAATGAACAAATGACAGAATATCTATCCAGAATATCTTTCTTAATATATTTGACCCAACCATGTTCTGAAGACTCTGAGTCAACCTTTAGCACAGGGCACTGTCTCATCTGCCCCCTTACAAAGCATTAGCCCGAGCTAATCACATCAAGTTTATCAACCCATGAGGTTCCACACAAGTATCAGTGTCTATACACAGTCTTTCGTAAAAACTTCAATTCCTTTTTTGAAATGTGCCATCATATTAAGTTGGCAATGTTGTCTTAAATTAAAACATGGACATCTATACCCCACCCTGTACCCAAATTTAAAATCATTCTAGGCTGAATTGTGTGGTTGGTGAGAGTTTAGCCATACATGCCAGCTATCATGCATTCCAAAAGTTCTCCGTGCCAAGAATTACTCAGAGAACCTATCCAACCTGCCTCAGAGAAGATTTGTGACATAAAATATATATATACACAGTGTACATACTGTAAGTAATAAAATTTTTCAGTGTAAGCCCTTAGGGTTTGTGGGAATTTAATGTCTTTTTTATTAAAAATATCAACATTTCCATGTTAACTTGAAGGTTGGGGAAACGTTATTCTATTTTGCTAATTATTTTTTCCATAAAAGAATTTAGTATTAAGGATACAGATCTTTTCTATGCCTAGTGATAAACACAATTAACTCCTTCAACAACCAGAAGCCTATTGCAGTATTTATAATATACCAGTATTTAAGTTTTAAGTCAATATTTGAATAAATAAATGTCTTAGGAGGAAAAAGCTAAATCTTATTGAAAATATTTGTATGGGTATCTCTCAAATGCTTATGTATGAATCTTTGAGAAAAGACAGAAAAACAACACACTTGCTATTTTGGCAACTGCTATTAATATGCTCACTGGTCACTCTTTAATTTCAGATTTTTTTTTTTTTTTGGCGGCTAACCAGTACAGGGATGAGAACCCCTGTGACCTTGGGGTAAAAATGCTATTCTCTAACCAAATGAGCTAACTTGCCAGCCTTCAGATCACTTGTTAAATACACACACAAGTAGTCACAGGCAGGTCCCAAGATAGGAACACCTGATTCATGGGTGTCTGGGGATAAAAGGACACGGTAATAGGAAACTCCCTCTTGCTACAACAGGAGGGACCTTACTTGTCATGGCCCTTTTAACATGAGTTGAGTCTTTCTATCCCACCACGGTTTTAGTGGCTGAGGCTTGGGGAGATGGTTTCCTAGCATTCCGGTTCCCCATTGGAACTCAAAATCTGCTTCTCTATGGAAACAATGTTGTAGCTCAGTGATTTATGGGGGAGGAAGTATCTAGATGGAGGACTTTTTTCAACTACAAACACCATCTGTTATCTCCCTAAGATTCTGAAAAGTTCCCTGTTACAATCATTACTTTAGAGCCACCATTAAGAAAGGCAGTGCACAACAGAATTTTCTATTCTGCATTTGTAATTTTAAAATGTACATTTAAGCTACAGTATAGGCAAACAAGAATAGAATATATGGCACACTTTCTAAGAGTTAGCTATCATGGCTAAAATTAATTATAAGGAAAAATATACCCGAGCTCCAAATAAACTTTTATTACAAAGACTGCCCATGTGTTTGGATCTGCTTATAGTGGCTTAGGGCACACATATACCACATAAGAATGAGGAGTTATACTGTTTTTTTTTTAAAAAAAAACGAAATCAAACCAAGATAATCGGAAACAATAAATTGGACTCTTGACAAGGTTACACTTAAAAAAGAAAAATATTGAATAAATAAGGTTGAAATGATACCTCCATATCTATTAACTCTTTCATAAATTTATGCTTTCAGGGGAAGACTGCTTTAAAATGTAAAAAAAAAAAAAAAATTCAAGGTGAAAGAGCTCTTGGAAAAAAAGAAGGAAAACCATGCCTGTTTTCTTCAGTGGTTGTTGCACTATGATTTAGCACACTCAGCATATCAGCATATTTCTAGAAATGTTGAGCATTTTCACTCAGTGAGTTCCCTTTAGAAGCTGGGCAACTGAAAACAGGAGAATGTGGCCAGGATGCCTGTTTAATGGAGAGGAGGGAGAAAAGCTGGGAAGGGAAGTATCTGGGCAGGGCTGAAAATGTTGGAGTTCCTCAGGAGTCTGTCGTAGGTTCAAGACTCATCTTTCTCTCTTTCCCCCTGTACTCTCTCTGTGCCAGTGATCTGGGAACTGGTCCTAGTGCACTTAGTTCTGGTTCTCATTTGCTTATGGTCTCTCTCTCTCTCTCTCTCACACACACACACACATACACACACACTCTCTCTCTCTCTCTCTCTCTCTCTCTCTTTCTCCTTCTCTCCCTTCCTCCCTTTCTTCTTTCCTTCTCCATCTCTCTGTCTGTGCCTGGATAATTCTCACTCATCCCTTAGGTCTTGGTTTGGTTGTTACTTTCTTAGGGAGACCCTCGATAGACCTCCAGATTAAGTGCCAGTTGTGTCCCTATGCCTACACCTAGCACAGTGCCTGATTTGTAGAAGGTCCTCAATAAATAGTCATTGAGTGAGCGGTTGAATAAATGAAGAATATATGAATGAGATAAAGCAGGACATGGAAGTATTCCCAATACTTCCTGTTCCTGACTGTTAAATCCTTAGGTCAGGAATTTCCAAGGGTGAAATTCCTGGAATTTCTTTAATTTAATTTGTTTAGTCATATTATTAAGAATTAGCTTCGAATTTTAAATAACTTTAAAGAATGGCATGGAATTTAAATTCCTACCAAAAGAAGCCATGTTTTTAAAGAATTTTAAGTACTTCCATAGCTCATTACTTCTTTTCACAGGGTAGAGGAGGGTGGTAATCATAGTTATACCAGAAACAGTAAATCTCCATGTATCTCCCACTACATAAAAAATAATAAAATTAATAGATTATAAGTGGCATAATTCCATAGGAAATATAAAAGTATCTTTGGAAGTGACTACCTTCTATGTGGCAAGTTCCTGCTAATTTAACTTGAGTCGTTTGACGTGGTTATACACCTTTATCTTCCACTGCAGTATTTATCTCTAAATAAGTCTCCAAAGCTGCAAAACTTTCCTTTCCAAAGAAAGAATAATAAACACTTTCAACAACTTACAAAAATGAAATGACTAATCAGCAGTATAACTTATTCTTATGAAAATATATTTCCAGTGTGATAGCTGATGCTCTACATTTGTGTTGTGGAAAAGTTCTGCCCAGTATCAATCATCACATGTAGTAACAAAATATTTAATACTCTGGCAAGTATGGCATGGACAGGCCCCTAATTGGAACTCTCACATTTCAGATATCTTTTTGTTCCCTTTGCCAGGCTGGAATAAAGGGTTTATTTTAATCCTAGTGGATTTGACAGGCACCAATTTTCACATTAGTTTACTGTCTGATTTGAAAGTGGAATTCCCTTGAGTTTTGAGCAGTGAAAACACCTTCCCAGCAAGATAGCTTTCATGATGTCAAAGCAGTGAAAGATCCCGTAAAGCAGAACCATCAGCATAGTGGATCACACAAGAGCAGGGACAACCATGCACTTTCCTAGTGATACACATGCAACGTTTTGAGCCTCTTTGGGAAGCCTGCAGCCAAAGGATTACATGTTTAGTTATATACACCTGACTTTTCCATGAAGTATTTAAGAGCAAAGGACACACACATACATATGACTTAAAAGGAATAAGGAGGATACAAATGGGGAAGTTATTGTACTTACCTATTGCCCTGCTTTGTTCTAAACAGTTCTCATACATGCTGCTGCACTTGGAATTTCCAGGCTGTAGAAACAACAAATTATGAAACATTTACAAGCATAGTACACATTCACAAACTTAAAAGCAAACAAACAAAATACTAATACTACTCCCAAAAGAATATAGGAGACAAATTCACTTTCTGACACGGGAAACGTCTGACAGGTAACAAAAGGAAACAAATTTTGGGTGCGGAGAGTACACTCCTTTCACAGTCCATTGCTTTGGAGCTGCAGAGGTAAATGTGATTGGGTTGGGAGGGCATAAGGCTACCGGTGTCCTGAGTCCTAAGAGTTACTGCTTCTCCTTGGGAGGTCACATTCCAGAACTCAATCCAAGTCCCACCCAGAAAGTAATTTTCAGGACATGAGTATAAATACTGGCCACGTAACCAACTTCTATTTAACTCTGAATTGACAGATTGGAGCTCTACTCTGCTGAGGTTGTGCAAGGCTCACTTCTTATCCCTGAAAATCTCATTCAATCAGGGCTTCAATCATCCCTAAACATATAGTTCTCTTCAGCAATGGAATGGAGATCCACTGATGCCTCTGATAAGGGCAGTGTCTATGCTTTAGAAAGATTAATCCAACAGGAAGGTTTGAGGGAATGAGATTGGAAACACGAAAGGGGCTTTCAGAATCATCTTGGCAAGTGATGACCAGAACATAGAAAGGTACAATAGGAATGAAAAGGTTTGGGTGGATTCAAAAGATATTTTTATGGTAGAATCATAGGTCTTGAAGACTGAGTCGATATGGGGCCCAAAGTGTAAGAAAAACAAAAAACTGTAGATTAGCGAAAGAGTGGCAGTGCCATTAATAAACATGAGTAAATCAGTAGAGGAATCAAGTTTAGAGTCAAGGAGAAAATGTTGAGCTCAACCTTGATATAAATAAACAATGTAATGCAATGTGGCACTACAGATGTAGGTAAGGGCCGAAGACAGAGAAGTTGAAGGAAGTGCACACACAGAGGTGAGATGCCAGAGGTGAGATGAAGGGCCAAGGGCAGAGCCTTGGAGGACGCTTGCATGGTGGTAAGGTGAGGTCTGATTTTCAG